GAGAAACTGAGACAAGTTGCTTACCCTCCCCGAAGCTCAGTTTCCTCACATACAGAGAGCGTGATGAGGCTCAGATAATTTGGAAGCACCTTGTAAACGTAAAAGTGTTAAGCATCTCTTGAACATTACACACCAGTGTTTATTTCCTTAGCTGGAATACATGGAATGTGAGAGATCAAGTTACCAAGGTCATTTGAGCTTAAATGCCCTTGGTTTCTGTTGTACCTGGCACCGAATGTAACAACCAAGATTAGCATGACCTTTCCCTTCCTGCCTCCTGGCTTTCCGCCGCGCTCAGAAGCAATATGGACATTTAAAGAGCTGTCAGATAGCAGTGGTATTTGATACACAGTGATTTGACTTAGAATCAAACCTCCTGAAGAAAGGACTGATTCTGCAGGAGTATCACCAAAGGTGGGATTTGGGAAAATGCCTCTGAAATGTGCCCAGGTGTGTCCGCTTGGGTCCGAACACCCACTGCCCCGCCACAGCCCAGACGGGCCGTCTGCCAGCATTCTGCATCTCATACCCCTTGGCCATAGAAGCGAGAGCCACGAGATATCTTCATCTATAAATTCGCTACTACTGTGGTGCCTGAGCCAGAGACTAAGCACCGCAGACATGAGACAGAAAGAGATGAGACAACATCCCTTCAGCATTTCAACCTGCTTGTCTGTCTATAGTCACAGCCAAATCACAAGGTGTGAAGGGTGGGGAGCAGGACCTCACTCACCCACCATAATGGAGGAAGTGAAGAAACTGGTCTCATGGTACTTCGCTGAGCCCCAAGTGCACATGTGAGACCTACGGGGGGAAGCAACCTCACACACTGGTTAAGAGTTCGGGGTGAATCTTGACTCTGCCATTTAAGTGCCACTTGAGACACCCAACCCCATGAAGCCCGATCCTTCATCTATGGAAAGGGGACAGACAGTGATCATGACCATGACACCTCATTAGGCTGCTGCAGCATCTAATAGCACTTAGCCAGAGTTCCTGTTGGCATCTGGTAAGCACAGCATGAATGCTGCTTTCTGGCCATCATGCATTCCGACTGGACTTCAGGGAATGCCGCCAACCCTGCCTCTGACAGGCGAAGTCCTACATGTTCTCATAAGGCGAAGCTGGGCGAAGAGTACACAGGACCTCGTTTTAGGAACCGCTCGTTAGTCTAAAATCATTCCAAAATAAAAAGTATTTTAAAGAAGCCATGGCACATATATGAGCCCTTCCACCTTTTCCTTTGCAAAACCGAATTTTGAGTGTAAACCCTTCAGAGGTTGGTCTTTCAAGCTGCTCCTTGCGGAATCATCAGAAAACAGAAAGAAACAACAGATTTCAGGTGTTGCCTAAAGTTGCAGCGAGCTAGAGCTGGGCAGATTCCCAACACACAAGCCCACAGTCTACACCACTTTTACATTTCTGGGTAAAAAAGGAAGGCGGAATGATTTGAAGTACACGGATCTTAGATCCTCCATTTGTTTTTGCAACAATGTTCCCATCTATAAAATGTGCATTCTTGCCCACTGACTACACTAGCAGAGAGAAGCAGACAGAAAGTCGTGCACACCTTTAACTAATGATGTATCGTGTCAGAGCTACTGTTTGGCAAGTTTGATTTTCTGTGTGCTTTTCACAATGGATTTAACAGTTATCCAACCTGAAGGTTCTTCCCCGTCAGGGACCATTATCCTGGAGCCGACACAGCAGGATATTGCTCTGGTGTTGAAAAAGGCAATTGCTAAGATGATCTGAGACAGAAAGAGGCTTCCCTCCAAGGAGCCAGAGAAAAGCGAGGACGGTATATTCCGTCCCCCTGATGGTGAAAGGAGCCAGTGGTCGGAACCTATAGAAGGAGAGGTCAGCTGCCGAAAAAGGTGACAAGGAAAGATTCGGTAGTTAGCAGAACTGCAGAAAACACAAACAGAGTCCACAAATTTTGATAAGCAGGGTAGGGACATGAAAGATGAAATTTAGAAAAGCAGGAGGTAATGAGAATCAGTACAAAACCAAAACAGTCCTCAGGTTTTGAGTGGCCATAAATCAGAAATACCTAAGAAACAAAATCCCAGAGGAAAAAAACAAAGAACAGATGAATACAATGGTCTGAGCTGTATATTACCACATTCAACATAGCAAGAGAGAATCTGGACCTGTTTTCAAAGGAGACAAGGAGAAAATGGAGGGCACAGACCCCACTCTGACTGCACAGAATGTTTCCAGAAGGCGAATTTTCAGAGGAGTGTTCAAAAGATGGAAGGGGGGGGAATGCTGGAGAAAGAAAACAAAACAAAAACAAAAAGCAAAGCTCAATACAAGAGCCCAGAAGCTGTAAAATCCTTGCTGGGAAGGCAAAAAGTCAGAATGAGCTGATGCTAATGGAGAATGTCCAGGACAATGAAAGGGGCTTTAGAAGTTCGGAGCATAAAGACCAACTGGTAAGAGGTGACAGAACCAACAGAACTACTTGACTCCCACTTCGCTCCAACCTTCCCGCTAAGGAGAATGATGTACACAGTGGAATGAGCATTGTTCTGTGGGAACTGACGTCTGGGACAGGGGACTCCCTTCAAGAGTCCCGACCTGCCTCAGCTCTGAAAGCTTCCACCGGCAATCACAGACCCCTGGGGGAATCATCATGGAGACAATGGGGGAGGGACTGGTGGGGACAGACAAATGCTCTTCTGATTTGCTAAGGAAGAGGGGCTAAGAGGAAGGAAGGCAAAATTTGCGACTGGGTTATTGAACAGAGAGCTCGTGAGCGCTTAGAACAGAAAATGATGAACTACAGGCGTCAGAGTATCCAGAGGGCCACTTCCAGAAATTCACTGTGGGCATCAGGCATCCTGACTTCTAGAGGACAGCCGGCAGAATGGATGTAGAAGTGGTGAGTGTATGGTGGTTGTTTCATGGCTTGTCGGGTAAAAAACAGAACTCAGAGCTTGAGGCTGTTGATTAATTACTTGCTAGAACCAGGAGGGAGCAGTACTTAGGGCTGAGCCCAAGGAATGATGATGTACCCGTGTAACAGATTTGCATTTCAGTCCAAGCTGGGAGTCTAGCTGGTTGACTGGCAGCACCCACGGTCAAGAACAGCAAGCACATGCTAAAATGAAGATCCAAAATTAATATGACAATAGTTAAGAAGGACAGAGGTTTTAAAAATTAAGCCTTGGCCTATGAAAAAGATTTAGTATATTAAATTGTCTGTAAACTCAACATGCAGCAAGAGGTGATTGATGTGGCTTCCAAAATAATAACCACACTGGGGCGCCTGGGTGGCTCAGATGGTTAAGTGTCTGCCTTCGGCTCAGGTCATGATCCCAGGGTCCTGGGATTGAGCCCCACATCGGGCTCCCGGCTCAGCGAGGACCCTTCTTCTCCCTCTCCCTCTGCCTCTCTCCCTGCTCATGCTTTCTCCCTCCCTCTCTATCTCTGTGTCTCAAAAGAATAAATAAAATCTTAAAAATAATAATAATAATAATAACCACACTGGGCTCAACAGGAGCAGTGAGAAGGTAGCAGGAAGGACTGCTGGGGAGGGGATCAGACAGCATGGGGAACAGGGGTCACGACTGGGCTCTGGAGCCAGACTTTCCTCTACTTCCATCCCGGCTTGCCACTTAGTAGCTGTGGAAACGTGGCCCAATGCTTAACACCTCTACACATCGGTCTCCTCATCTACCACATGGGAAGGAAGATGGCCAGTACCAATCTCATAGGGCCATTTTGAGGACTAAATGAGATAACGTATGTAGAGTGGTTAGAACAGTGTTTGGCACATTGGAAGCACTCAGTGAATGTTACTAAGGAGAGAAAAATGCGAGGGGGTTGGAGTAGTAAGACCACCACAAGAAGGTTTATCATACTGGTTTAAAAATGAAATACGGTGTATGTGTGAGTGCATCCGACTGGACCCGTGCTGGTCCGTTCTTTTCTGGCCCAGCCAGACAAGAGAAGCAGTAAGAGTTCCACTGCATTCTTTACACGCGAAACCTCAAACAGAGTGCTGTGTTCAGTTCAGGTGTCACATTTGGAGAAGGCCACTATCAACAAAGACAACAACAACGGACCAAGCCCAAGGACGCAAGGGTTCTCCCCACCTTGTATTATGTATGACAAATTTCCAAAACTTGTGACCTAGTGACCAGGAAAGGAAAGACCGTGGTCTTCAAATATGTGGATTTGTTTGGCGCAGAACAAGGCAAATCCGGTGCAACTCTGGCAGTAAATGAGATGACCTGGTGGGCCTTACAGGGAGGCAGGTTCAGGGCCAGTCGGAGGAAGGCCACTGTAAGATGGGTGTACTCAACAGGGAAACTGCTGCTTTCCAGAGCAGGGAGAACCAGGTCCTGGAAATCTTCCATAGAAGCTGGGTGGTATCTGTCAGGGATATGGGAGGTTAGGGGAAATCACTTTTAAGGTCCTTTCTGACCCTAATATTCTATGATTTTCAGAGATAAAATGGCCCAGAATAATTTCAGCTGCAGCATTTAGATGTAAACCAGTATTCATCCCTGCAGTGGAGTTAGTAGGTTTGCTCTGCAGCCTTGGTCATGCCAAATCAGCATCAAGGGTGATTCTGATTAAAACCAACCAACCAACAAATACCTAAATGAATTAGAGGAAACTTAACTGAACTTTACCCAACCGCATGTATCTGGGGATAGATTTAACCTAAGAATATAGGATTCAAGCAGTAAGAGGCTTTCATTATCCTGTTTCCAGTGTTGTAGTCTGGGGGAGAGGGCGAAGGAGAGAGAGGTGCATACGGGCTAAACCTGAGCTGGAATCCTCATAAGCCAGGTTAAAAGGAGCCCCGCACCCTATGCAGGGCTAGGGTGATCATAATGAAACGTGAGCTGTCAGTTGGCCACACACATTCAGAACACAGGAATACAGAGAACCTGGAAATTACGGGAGGCAAAAGGAGAAAAGGTAGCAAGGGAAAACCTTTCTTGTACTTCATCGAACAAAACCCACGACTCTATCCTGGAAAGAGGCAAATGAGACAAGCACCAGCTTCATTTTGTAAGGGGAGGCTAGAAGCACTTTTTGAACACCAACAGCACGCGTGGTGCTGTGTGCCGAGATAGTGGAAGGGTTCGTCTCATGACTCAAAGTGGAGCAGATGGTCTGTGGGAGCTGAGGAAGGACTTTTCCCTGCTGGGCGGAGGATAGCACAGCGCTCGGGACTGGGAGCCACAGGGGGTGGAGCCTTGCCTGGGTTTGCAGCCCAGTACATACCAGGATATAAAACAGGGTAAGTAGTTGGCAGAACAGCTCTCTTCCCAGTCTCACGGGCAACTGTGTACGACTTAGGTCTTATATTTAACAGGCTGTGCATTAACAGTAAGACCATTCACCACAGCATTGTTTGTAAAAGCAAAAACCTAGAAATCGCCAAAATGTCCAATGGTTAACAGGCAGTTATACAGTTAGTTGCGGAACATTCAAAAAAACCTACATGTGCTGTGAACAGAACAACAATTAGGATTATATTATTAAGAAAAAAATGGAAGGTAGAGCATGTAGTGGAAACAAATTCACACATACACACACACTCATGCATATGTACTTGTGCTTGAGGGATGCTTTCTAGGTGGGGTGGTGATACCACAGACACTATGGAGATGTCTTCTAGGCATCCAACGCTAGAAATGGCTCCTTGGGTCCCCTCTGGTGCCCTGAGGACACTAGCTGCCTCCTGCCATAATTTCATCTGCCATCTCTCCTTCAGACATTGCTACTCAACCCTGCTAAGGCTGAGACGATGTTATAAGATGTTACAAAATACCCAATGATTTCCATCAATCCTTCTTTCTTTAAAAAAATTGAGATATAACTCACATATCATAAAATTCACCATTAAAAAAAAAAAAGTACAATTCACTGGGTTCAGTATATTCGTAAGGTTGTGTAACCATCACCAGTACCTAACTGCAGAACATTTTCATCACCCCAGAAAGAAGATGCCACACCTACTGGCAGTCACTTTCCATTCTCCCTTCACCCCAGTCCCTGACAACCATTCATCTGCTTCTTGTCTCTATGGTTTTGCCTATTCTGAATATTTCAGATAAATGGAATCATACAGCATGTGGCCTTTTGTGACTGGCTTCTTTCACTTAGCCTAATGTTTTCAAGGTGCCTCCATTTTTGTAGCACGTAACAGTACTTCATTCCCTTTTATGGCTGAATGATACTCCATTGTATGAACAGAACACGTTTTATTGATCCATTCATCTGCTGATGGACATTAGGGTTGTTCCCACCATTGGCTGTTAAGAATAATGCTTCTATGAACATTTGCGTATGTGTTTTTGGGTGAACTTATGTTTTCATTTCTCTTGGGTAAATACCTAGGAGTAGAGTTGCGGGGCTGAATGATAACCATACATGTAACCTTCTGAGGATCTGTCAGACTGCTTTCCAAAGGAGCTGCACCAGTTCACTCCCACCAACAGTGTAGGAGGGTTCTAATTTCTCCAAAACCTTCCTAGCCCTTGTTCTTACTTTTCAGGATACTGTCCTAGTAGGAATGAAGTGATACCTCACTGAAGTTTGGATTTGCATTTCCCTGATGGTAAGTAGTGTCACGTATCTTTTTATGTGCTTATTGGCCATTTGTGTATCTTCTTTGGAGAAATGTCTATTTAGATCCTTTGCCCATTTTTCAATTGAGTTATTTGTCTTTTTATTGTTGAATTGTAGGAGTTCTTTATATATCCTGGATACAAGTCCCCTCAGATATATGATTTGCAAATATTTTCTCTCATTCTGTGGGTTGTCTTTTCACTTTCTTGATGGAGCCCTTTGAAACACAAAAGATTTTAATTCTGATGAAGTCCAATTTATTGATTGTTTTCCCCCTTTGGTCACTTGTACTTTAAGAAACTGGTGCCTAATCCAAAGGCCATGAAGACTTATACCCGTGATTTTTTTTTTTTCTAATAGTTTTATAGTTTCTGCTCTTACATTTAAGTCTTTGATCCATGTTCAGTTAATTTTTGTTTGTGGTATGAAGCAGAAGGTCTAACTTCATTCTTCTGCATGTGGATATCCAGTTGTCCCATGGCCATCTGTTGAAAAGACTATTCTTTCTCTCATTGAATGGTCTTGGCACCCTCGTCAAAAACCAACCGACCATAAAAGAAAGAAGAGTTTGTTTCTAGACTCCCAATTTTATTCCATTGGTCTATATGTCTGTATCACACTATGTTGATTACTGTAGCTCTGTGGTAAGTATTGGAATTGAAAAGTGTGAGTCCTCAACCTCTGTTATTCTTCAACATCGTTTTGGCTATTCATTCTGGGTCCCTTGAATTTTCATATGAACTTTAGGATCAGCTTGTCCATGTCTGCAAAAAAAAATAGGCAGCTGAAATTTTGACACTGGTTCCATAGATCAGTATATGGAGTATTGCCATTTTAACAATCTGAAGTCTTCCAATTCATGAACACAAGACTTTTTCCATTTATTTGGTTCTTCTTTAATTTCTTTCAACAATGTTTTGTAGTGTCCAGTATATGTGTTGCACTTCTGTGTTAAATTTATTCCTAAGTATTTAATTATTCTTTGTTACTGTAAATGAATTTGTTTTCTTAATTTCATTTTCAGATTATTTATAGCTAGGTATAGAAACACAATGGACTTTTGTATATTGATCTTGTACCCTGTAACCTTGCTGAACTTGTTGATTAGTTCTAACAGTTTTTTGCAAGGAGGATTCTTAGGATTTCCTAAGATAACATAATGTTATCTGCAAAAAGAGAGAGTTTTACTTCTTCCTTTCCAACCTGGATGCCTTCTATTTCACTTTCTTGCCTAACTACCTTGGCTAGAACCTCCAGCGCAATCTTGAGCAGAAACATAATCCCTCTTTTTAGCTTTTTCTCTCCTCAACCATTGACATGAAAGAGGAAGAAGCCCCTATAAAACTGCATTTTTAAAAAGATTTTATTTATTTGTCAGAGAGAGCAAGCACAAGCAGGGGGAGCGGCAGAGGGAGAAGCAGGCTCCCTGCTGAGCAAGGAGCCTGATGTGGGACTTGATCCCAGGACCCTGGGATCATGACCTGAGCCAAAGGCAGACGCTTAATCGACTGAGCCACCCAGGTGTACCTATAAAACTGCATTTTAACATGTAGTAGAAGATTCTTCTTTTGTGTCTTTGCAGCAGGTGCATGCAAATACCTGCATTGTTTTTTTCTCAGCCATTCTGGGTCAAAACTATTGGCCAAAACACAAACGAAATGGCAGTATCAGGGGGAAGGGTACAGGGAGGACGAGAGTTTTTCTGAATGGGAAACTAACACTCATTAGCCAAGAATGTAATGTATATCATGCTAGGACTGGCTGAGTGAATGAAACGTCCTCAGAGGATGGGCAAAATAAGAGTGAATTATTACAGATCGGTTTATGTATATGAATTATTTTTTAAGGAAAATATTTCACAGGCAAATAGGGTTATAATGAATCAGTGCCACACAGGGCAAGACAGAAGTATGCATATATACTTACAAAATTTATTTTCAGAAGAATTCACAAGGAAACGCTAGCCGTGATTATCTTAGGGTGAAGACTACAATGGTGGGGATGAAATTGTGCACCTTTCTAAACTGTTTGGGTTTTCCTGTTATGTACTTTTAACTAGGCAGTGATTATGAACTGTTTTATTTCTTCTTTATGTTTTTCTAGATTTAAAAAACCCTACCAAATGTAATTGCAAAAATGAAACACCGCATACAGTAAATATGTAATTAGGGGCCTATCAAGGAGAATTCCATCCCTCCCTTAGAAATACCTGAGTGATGAGTAACCAGGGAATGGTCTAGAAAAATGAACAGGGAGTGTTATTTGAGTTCAAATATTCAGGACATGTCTGTCATCTTTGTTGGGTAGAAGAAGTGAGAACTGAGGGATTCCCTCCAACAGGAAACAGGAACTGAGTGGGCAGTTCGGGGGGATAGAGCTGGCCTTCAGAACAGGAAAGCAGTCTGTTTCTGGCTAGCTGAGAGCCTTCAAGTTTTTCAGAAAATGTTGGCACAGGTACAGCCCCGTCCTGTCACAGAAGGGTAGATGCTGTCCACACAGCTAGCTTGCTAGTGAGTGTGGTTCCAAAAAGAATTAGACAGAAAAAATGGGGGTGAAGTGGTCCCCAGGCCTGAGAGATGGAGAATGGAGTGTAAGAATCGCTGGATACGCACGGAGAGACCTCAGGAACTCCACAGGCCAGTGTCAGTGGTTGGAACCCAGGTAAGAACTCTCAAAGCCATAGAGGCAAGAATTGCTTTCTTCTTAGGGCTGTGGTCAGATTCTGCACAGAATGCTGGGGAAATTGTACCAAGTGGAGCCAGAGGGGACACCAGCCTGGCCCTAATGTAGAGATTAGACCACAAGTAGGTTCCAGGAAGGTATGAAGATTCCATTTGTCTCAGATGCAGTGCCAAGTTAATTCTTACCTCTAGCTATTAGTTTGAGCATCTTTGTTTCATGTTCAAACTTTTTTTTGGTTTGTTTTTGCTTTTAATCCCATCTTTTCATTTGTAACCAGGCATTCTTGTTTCCCCCACCCCCTCCCTTTTTAAACATCCTCTTAACTTCTTAATACAATTAACTTTTTGAGCATTCTAGCCAATTGCAAGTTTGTCAAGAGGAAAGGTAGGTGTTTCCAGGCTCTGGTGGGTAAAGAAATGGGAGCAGGTTGCCTGTGTGGTCACCAGGGGAGGGTGGCATCAGTGAAAGAAGAGCTAGAAACCAGAATAAACCAGAAGAGAGAGTGGGGCTAGCTGCAGGGGCTGCGTCCTTGTGCCCTCTGTCACCTGTTGGGCAAACATTGACCGGGTGTCAGAGGGTCTAGATGACAGCCCCTAACACGTGTTGAGTATTTACTATAGGATGAACCATTGGAAATTGACAATACTGAGCCATTTTAGATCCACCAAAATGTCAATTCTCTGTGATTCAACCCAATACATGTATTCTGATTTATATGTATTCATCACAGTACCCCCCCCACTCACCTATAAAGTAGAAACTATTGTGTTTATATTCCCATGTTATAATGAGCAGACCAAAGCTCATTGTGCTTGTGTAACTCTCTAAAGGTCACACAGCAAGTTGAGGAGTCAGGATGGGATTCAAATCCAGCCACTCTGGCTTCCAAGCTTACTCTCTAAATCCTAGACTACTCTCCTGGCTTGAGACCTGAAGACCAACAAGCTCTGGAGAGAGCCCAGGCCTACATTCTCAGACGGTTTTTCTCTAAAATGAGGCAGGACAGACCAGGCTTTGGCCAAGCAGGAACTGGGACTGTTGCCCTTCACTCTGTTAAAGTCATAACAAACTTCACAAAGCCCACATATTCAACCACTTCCTTTACTGGGTCAATCCTTATCTGCGATCAGAGAAAGCTTTACATCATATTATTAGAAGCCTTCTTTGAAGCTGTATTGACACTTCAACCAGTTTTGAATAGCGCCAAATGAGCAACTTAGAGCCTCAGGCCAATCAGAAAGAGCATCTCAAACTCTTCTAAACCCAGGTGTGGGTTCCTGAAATGGCCACCCAATTCCATCTGGCTTCTAGATAGACTCTGTCTCTCTGATCAAGTGTGATCTCACAGGCTGGGTAATCTTCCCAGAACTCCCATTTTCATTATGTCATTCCTGGAACAGAAAATAGCTCCCCAGTGCCTGGATGGTCACATGCAAACTCTTGAAACTGACCTCTAAGGAACTCCATTACTTAGCCTGTCCTTCCCTGGCCCCCTTCGGTCTCACAGGTCCTGATGGCTATCCTCCCCAGGAAGCTCATTCTCACCTAATGCCCATTTCCACAATTAATCTACTGTTTATGCCTGCCAGGCTTTGCTCCTTGAATTCCCTTCCTTCCAGCCTTTCCCAGTCTCGATGCTAGCCCTTCTTAACCATCCCAGCTCAAACCTCACACCTTCCCAGCGGCCCTTTCTAGCCAAGCCTACCAATAGTAACCTCTCAGGCCTTAGAACTCGGAGGATGCAGCCTAGGGTTTTTCTATCTACTGTGTTGAGACCAGTATTTCAACTCTATGTAAATAAGATAGAAAGAACCTCAGGAACACAGACTGTGTCCTCTATGACATTCGTTTCTTCAACATTTATCAAGTACCCATTCAGTGCCCAAACCTGTGGTATACAGAAGTAAAAAAAAAGACACAGTCCCTAGGTTCAAAAGGCTTATGACCCAGAAGAAAGATGCATTAGGTTAGACCATGTGAAACTGCTGTTTCTATAGGTTAAAAATGGTCAAATATTGGCAATATTACGTGGCTCATTCTAAACATAATTATCAAATAACATAGTAAGATCAGGGATAGAGATACAACCAGAGCATTTGGGGGTACAGAGGAGGGTCATGCACTTATCTTGTCAGGGGAGAGCCTGAGACTTCTGGAACACAGTGATATATGTGCTGAATCGTGATGATCTGGAGTCGTATGACAAGGGGAGGCTATTCTAATAGAGACAACATGAAGACAAGGCAAGGAGGTAAGAAAGAACAGGTAGACAGTAGATGTCATGGGCTGCATTCTATTTCTCCAAAATTTTTATGTTGAAGCCCTAAGCCTCAGTACCTCAGAAGGTGACTCCATTTAGAGACAGGGCCTTTAAATAGCTAGGTCAGTTAAAATGAGGCATTTGGTCGGTTCCCTTTACCAGACGAGGCGATTCGGACATACAAAGAGACCCAGGAGTGCAGACACGCAGAGGAGGGACTGTGCGAGGACTCAGCGGGAAGGGGCTACCTGCAAGCCAAGGAGAGACGCTGCAGAAGAAGCCAAACCTGTTGACACCTCGATCTTGGACTTTCAGCCTCCAGGAGCGGGGGAAGTCCATTTGCACATACTGGTCTGTGGTAGTCTGTTATGGCAGCCCCGGCAAACTGATGCCGTAGGGTTGGGTATGAACCGAGTGAGGCGGCTGGAGGGTGAAGCAAAGGATGGGAAGAGAAGAGACTGTCCCAACAGGCAGGACAGCTGGTGTGCGGCACTGTGCCTATGTTAAGGACCCTGAGCTTTTTCCCGGAGGCGAAGGGAAGCTTTGGGAGAATTTTAAGCAAGGAGGTGGCAGAATCAGAAGGTGTTTCAAGGAGAGCTCCCCAGCGGCGACGAGGAAGGTGGATTTGATGAAACAGAAAGATCAAGTCGGAGGCTGTTGGATTGGTACCAGCGAGTTATTAATGGGACTCAAATCCAGGGAGACAGCAGTACCAGGAATGGAGAAGGACCCAGCTGAGAATACTTACGAGGAAAGTTCATAGTGCCGGCTGAAACCCTCCCAGGGCAAGGAGCGGAGAGGAGGAGGAATTGGAAGGCCCCCACTTTTGGCCTGGGACAAGCGTGGGAACGTGAGCCACCACGGATGAGCTCACTACCATAGGAGACGAGCAGATGGGGCCCAGGGAGTGGGGTTACCAGTGAGAGGCCTGTAGGGCCACCAGGAAGACAGGATGTCAAATGGGTCGCTAAGCAGTTGCCTCTGATCTTTGAGGGAGAGTGGAGCCAGCCTGCAGATGTGGGAGCCTCCAGCAAAGAGGGAAGGTATGGCCAGCGGTGCCCACGCCACTCACAATCCGTGGGGCCCTTTTATCATCCGTGTGCACATCAACTCCTGGCATGCTCTCCATGACTCTTGGTCAGATGTGGCTCTTGGGTGGCCCAAGCCTGTTTTGCCTGCAAACACAAGAGTCGGAAGTACCTGGGAACATACATCTATCGAAGCAATGGGGACACATGCAGGGGTGTGTCCACAGTCTGGGCCATACCCCTGCAGGGAAAACTCTGAGACTGACCCACACCACCTTCCAGGGCCATCCTATGGGACTTGACTTGATATCATAGCACCCTGGCTTGGCCTCCTCCCCCTCTCTTTGCTTCTACTTCCTGTCCTGGGCATACTTCCTAATAAATCTCTTACACATGAATCTTGTCTCAGGGTCTGCTTTTGGGGAATCCTACCCATGACAGGGGGTGTAGATGAGACCACTCCAGGAGGATGTGTGGCAAAGAGCGGAGCCCCCAAGGGAACACCAGCTCTGAAGAGGCAGGCGAAGAGAAGAGCCTGAAGACGATGGAGGAGGGACAGCAGAGGGGCACCGGAGAGCCAGAAAAAAGAGAGGCAGAGGGGCTGCCAGGAAAGCCAGGTGACAGAGATTCCCAGAACGAAGACTTGTCAATAGTACCAAACAAAGCAGAGGAGTTCCAATAATATAAAGACTGGGGGCGCCTGGGTGGCTCAGTCGTTAGGCGTCTGCCTTCGGCTCGGGTCATGATCCCAGCGTCCTGGGATTGAGCCCCGCATCGGGCTCCCTGCTCCGTGGGAGGCCTGCTTCTCCCTCTCCCACTCCCCCTGCTTGTGTTCCCTCTCTCGCTGTGTCTCTCTCAAATAAATAAAATCTTTAAAAAAAAAAAAAAAATATATATATATATATATATATAAAGACTAGAATATGTTTACAGAATCTGGTGATCAGAAGGGCAAAATGACCTCAGGAAAAAAATAGTTTCCCTAGATTCATGACGTTGGCTCACAGTCCCAAGTGATGGGAACTTCATTCTCCCTTCATAAATGGATCCTCCCTTCCCTTCTTCCTCATGGGCAGAAAACCTCACTTAGATATACGTAAGTTCTAGATTTACGTCAATGCACACACATTTTCGCTGCCACCTCTGGAACTAGAAATGTGTCTTTAGTTGTACTGAGACTGACAGGTTGGCTCTCAGGCCTCTGAGAGATCAGAGAGATGTGGATGTTGATGCGTTGATAGAACTGAAGGAAGAACATGGCTGATGGCGTCGGTTTTCCCTGGGGGACAGGAGGCAAGAGAAGGAAGGGAGAGCGGGGAAGGGGGGAAGGTCTGGACTAGATACTGAAGGCCACGGGGAAGGGAGCTGCCCAGGGGAGAGGGAAAGGATTTGTTCCCAGCCTGTGGGGCCACTGGAGACCGAAGCAGGCACGCCGGGAGTCTCAGGCCCCAGCATGGAGGAGCAGCGGAGGCTGAGCCTCTGGGTGGAGGTGGGTGTATGGCAGAGACAAAGGACTCTCAAAGGAGGGGCACTTTTCCATGAGGCAGGTTCGGGTGGCTGCGAGTGGATGAGTTCCCACATGTGGGTGGGAAAAGACCGCTGTGTTCTTCAAGGATCAGAAATAAAAATTTTGAGAAAAACTTCAGAGGTGAAAACTTCATGCATACTAGAGGTGCACATGTAGACTAATTTCAAAAGTCTTGTTTAACTTTTTTAAGATTTTATTTATTTATTTGAGAGAGCAGGGGGGTGGGGGGAGCAGGGAGAGAGAGAGAAGCAGGTTCCCCACCGAGCAGGGAGCCTGACATGGGGCTCGATCCCCGGGCCCTGGGATCATGACCTGAGCTGAAGGTTAAGTGTCTGCCTTCAATGCTTAACCTACTGAGCCACTCAGGTGCTGCTCAGTAGAGCTTTAAACAAGCCATCTGAGCCACCCCTAAAAGGCTTATTGTTTTAAGTGGAACACACAGTGTTAGGCATCGTGCAGACTCATAGAGCCTGTGGCATGCACATCTCCTTGTGGCTATGGAGGGTTGCATACTTGGGGCTTCTCCCTATCAGTATGGGCTGTCTTTGTGACCAGGGAATGAGGCATTTATGAGGAAGGTAGGAGAAGATATCCTCGTTTCTCCGGAATTCTACCGTTTGTGGAGACAGCAGCTAGGAGAAAGAGCCACATCAGATTCTACGCCTGTCAGCGCCTCCTCAACATGATATATTTTCACGTTTTTCTCAGCACGAGCTTGACTTTAACAATGAATCCAGAAAAGAGGAGAAGTGATAATAAATCACAAACAATAAAAACCAACAGAGATTTCTTCTGACCCCACCACCGTAGCTCTTCCATCCTGTAGGCCTGTCAGAGGAAAGCTAACTAACACTGAGTAAAGCACTTTAGAGAGAGAACGCAGGAACCCAGCAGTGCCCCAGGGACCAGAGGCACGGAGCCTTGCAGAAGGCCCTTCGCATCTTCCTTGGCAAGAGTCACGACTGCTGCAAGGTCAAGGGTGGGGTGGGGGTGGAAACAACAGGAGAGCGGAGTGGTGGCGGCCAGGCAGAGTAGGACAGCAGTAAGATCAGCTTTGTCTGGTGCACAGTTGTGCCCAGAGTCAGTGGACAGGTGAGGGAGAGTCTGAGGAGAGCCACTGGGGTCTGGTCTATGGGAAAAGCATCTTTAATAATTAACAAATGAGAAAAGGCGTGGAGTCAGTAATGTGACCCCTAACCTTTTGAGCAAATTGCCATGCCTCAAGAGTCTGCAGCCAAATTACAGGCTTCCCAGCCAAGGAAGGCTGAGAAGGAAAACACAGGAACCGTTGTAACCAAATGAATCTCACAACCAAGTCAATCCAGGACACATCTGATGAGAGCCATGTTCAACACTGGATGTATGGAAGACACGACTGGAAAATGGTTCTTGTAAATGACTAAAATTAGCAAGCCAGAACCAAACGCAATTTTAGTTTTTCTCTTCTCACTTTGTTAATACTCCAATATCTATAATCAACACAATGTTGAATTTTTTTCCTGATAGCCACCGAAATAATCAGACACATTCACTCATGTGTAAGAAGACAAAGATACTTGGTCCAAGGATACTTTTTTTTTTAACCCTGACCTTCACATCCTTCCACTGTTCAAGATACCTGCAGTGGTTTTTTGGTTTGGTTTAGTTTGGTTTGGTTTGGTTTTAATGCAACTAAATGCTATATGGAGTTCCTTGAAGGCAGAGAGAAAGTGTATAGGGAAAAGAAGGTCGTTTCCATCCCTGGATTCCAATCTCTGTTCTGCTCTGTATCAGCTGTATGCTGCTGGACCCCTTAATACCTCTTTCTGAGCCGTGAGTCATCTAAGTGAAGATGCTGAATAGCCAGCAGGAGGGGTGGGGACTGGCAGCAGAGCACAAGGAAATCCAGGAGAGTGTGACACAGAAGCCAAGAGAAGAAAGTGTTTTTAGAAGGAGGGAGTGGTCAACCACGTTGAAAGCGGCTGCAAAGATGAGTGAGAGAAGCTTCCATTTCATCTGCACCACCGAGGAATGCGGAACATATCAAGACACAAACCAAGACTTCTAAATTGTTCTTGGTCCATCATTTCAAGGCCATGGGTTATCTTGAAAGGGAGGGGGAAAAAAAGAGCATCTTTGATTACTGTCTTGTTTTAAGCGACTTCTTTCCCAAGGTCTTATTTGCATATTAAACCAAAATAAAATCTGAGAACAAATTTTTATAACTCTGATGTTTTTTTTCTTTCACTTTCAGTAATTTCTAGGCTCTCTGTGCCCATTTAAGGGAGAATTCTAAAGGATGGGAGTAAACTAAACCTTGACTATATAATTTGGGGCAGGTTCAGAAACATTTCCTCTTCATTGTAAGCGCATCTGATAACAATAGATTCCATACTGATGTGCAATAAATCTTTCGAATGCGGTCATTTCATGGTTAGCCTAAATTTAGGCAAACAAAATTTCTGAATATTAAGAAAAAGAAAAACAAATGCCCTAATAAGCTTTCCAGCACAAGGGTCTAAAAATAGTGTATTTCTTCTCCCAGCTCTACACACACAGGAAAAGCTCTTGGCCATCAGAGGCTGGTTGATCACAGCTCCACCGAGTCCAGAGAGAAGGCTCTCCTCACATGCGTACTGACTTCCCCGTGTGAGGCTGGCCTGCTTATGAACTGGGAGCACATTTCATCAACTAATGTTCATTATGACGCCCCACCCCCACGCCATACCGACTTCCCAAGCTCCTCCACTGGCCCCCTACCTTCCTCCGACCTCTTCCCTCACTTTCCTCTCTCCCTGGTGATTTCAGTGTGCTCAGACTTGTAAGTATTTATAGACTGAATGTTCCAATCTTTCCAGTGAGCTGCTGACTTGTAGACCCCACTAAGTTCTCGATATCAAGTATCTGTTTGACATCCCAAACTTAACATATACAAGACTGGGATTTTTACTTTTCCTTCCGATGTCTTGCTGTCTCACCAAATGGCCTCACCATCTACCCAGCGGCTCAAGTCAAAAGCCTGGAATTATTCTGGACACTCTCATCTCCCTCTTCTCCATACTCGATGACCAAAGACCCGCCAGCCCCACCACCTGGACATGTCTCAGATGGGTCTGCCACAGCCGCCACCAGGACCTCTTGCATATGGACGACTGCAAGGTTCTAACCCTCCCCTTCCCATCCCTCAGCGGCCTGCAGTCCATCCCCCAGCAGCCCGAGCAGCCCTGAAAACACAAGACAGATCAGGATCCTTCCCTGCTACAAGCCTTGGGGCGCCTTCCATTGCACTTCGGCCTAAGGCTCGCTGGCCAGACTCCTGCCTGCCTCCCTCTGCCCATCTGGCCACACCGCCCTCCTTTCTGTTCAAGTACCAGCCTGCCAAGCCCTTTCCTGCTTCAGGGCCTTTGTAGTCCTCAGAGACACCTTCCGTTCGCACCACTTCTCACCATCTGGAACCCTGTGAAGGCAACAGGGTCCCGCTACGTGGAAGCTCCGTGAGAGCGGGGACGTTGTCCACCTCCGTCGTATAGCCATCCCACTGGCTGAGGGCAGAGGGGTGCAGAGAGCGGTGCTGGGTGGGGAATGCGGGGCTCCTCGCTCTGGATTTCCTACACAACCCATGAGTTAGAGGACGTAGAGGTTTCGTATGCGAGAACGAGGGACTTCTTCTTCGTGGGAAGAGTGGCCACACCCCAGGCAGCCATGCTGCACAAAAGCACCAGCCAGCCTCCCTGGGGGGCGGGCGGGGGGGGCATTGAAAAACAAACAACCAAACCGGTTCAGACTGGCTTCTGCCCAAAGGTCAACTGGCCTTGTCATCAAACTGGGGGGCCACCGCTGGATGGCTGTCTTCCCACCCGTCTGACGGCTATAGTGGAGCAGGGGCAGGATGAAAGCTTCTGTGGTCATAGCAATCGCAGTATTCCCGGGGCCTAGGCTTGGGCTTGCCGATAAACAACTATTTAGAGAAATGAAGAAAACGAGCAAAGCAGAGAGGGGCAAAAACGGAAAAATGGCAAGAAGTAATCCTACAAGTAAGCGCTGCAAGACACACGTGGACACCACCCTGCGGGAGCTCGGAGTAGCATCTCCCCCAGGCACAGGCGTGGCCTCCTGCTGGGAGGACCCCAAACAAAAGGCCCCACTGACACTGACATCTGTTCCTGCTAAACACTTAGGAAGCAATATTTTCCTGAAAGTTTGTTGTTATTGTTTTTTTAATTTTGGCTTTAAAGGGTTACTGTCTGTCAAGCTACCAAACCCCCACCTTGTCCAAGTCCTCAGCCACCACACAAAGTGACTATTAGAACTTCAAACAAAGAATCTGGTCCTGGAAATGGCCTTGTGTTCGTTTTTTCCTGAACAGAGACACCAGGAAAGCGTCAGAAGGCAAATCTAAGCCCAAGCCCTGAGAGACTTCAAACATAACAATCACATTCCTGGGAGGATGAGTGACCTAACCCAGTTTGATTTAAAAAGGAAACACAGCAGATTTAATAGATGGCCAGGATGCGTCTTGAAGGAAAGGAGGGGGAGGCAGAGGATGAGGGGGAAAGAGATCTCAGGGCGCTTTACCTCAACACCTGCATCTCCTCGGGGGAGTTCCGCACCTCGTCCTGGAGGCAACACCAGCGCAGACAAGCCTTCAGCTCCTGCTGCTCCTGGGCCTCGTGGGGGGCCAGCTGCTTGGGCCACAGACACACAAACACATGTGCACAAAACACAGTCACTGTTGTCCTCACGTGGGGTCACAGCCGCCCGACAGGGCAGCTTGCTCAGTTTCAGGGTGACCGCACAGATGGCCTCCCCGCGGTGCCTGGCACCCCATCAGAAAAGCCAGAGGGCCAAAGGGGTCTGGTAGGTCCTCACACGAAGACCCAGCCGCTCACTCTCCTGCTGGTGATGGAGCTGGGCCTGGCTGTCTGGAACCCACCCCTCACACACCCTGGGGCCCAGAAAGAGCAGGCTTCCTTAGAGGGCTGTTTCCACTCGGATTCCATCCAGCCCTTTCCTGCTTTGTCTTTCGGCACTGGGTGGGGAAGGTCCCCTCCATTTACCTCCTACTTTTCCCAGCCCTCAGTTTGGTTAAGGGCTGTTTACAGTGGAGCCTGCTAATGCAGCCCAGATGATTCTGTTTGCATAGAAGCAGAAAGAGTGTACTGCCTGGATTCACTCTGGGGGAGGGGGACGCCATCACACCCTGCCCTGCTGGTGAGAACGGGCTACTGCCACTGGGCTCACAAGGCCCCACGACTCAAGTCTCTGTAAGGGAGGGCAGCAGAACATCGGCCTGGGAGGGAAATGTCAGTACCAACAGGCACTTCTGGAAATGAAAGATCCTTAAGAGTGGATTCAACAGGTATTTACTGAGTCTCTGCCAGACCCTGGGTACACTATGGACACAGCCTGTAAGAACACTAGCCATCAGAGGTTAAGGAAGAACCTAGATGCCCTCTGGCCATCCAGGTGAGTCCCTGAGGAGGTGGTGGGGCCCACACTGGTCCACAGAGAAAGCAGGAGTCAGCCCAGGGAGGAGGAATTTCAGGAAGAGGGAAAGCATGTGTAAGGTTCAAGGGGCCTGGAAAGAGCGTGATGATGTGTTTAGAGAACGGTGAGGGATGTAGTCGGGCGGGGAGCACGCTATCACCTGGGCAGAGACAGAGGTGCCAAGTAGCCAGCAAAGGCCAGATGAGCCACAGGTTCTGTGTGCCCTCTTGCTAAGGACCGAATCATGAGTGGAAAATTCATGTTGAAGCCCTAACCCCCAATGTGACTGTATTTGGAGATGGGACCTTTAAGGTGGCAATTAAGATTGATGAGGTTATTAGGGGTGGGCCCTGGTCCAATAGGCCGGGTGTCCTTAACAAGAAAGGGAGAGGCACCAGGGCTCTCTCTCTACATGCGCACAGAGGAAAAGCCACGGGAGAACACAGAGAAGAGGTGGCCGCCACCAAGCCAGGGAAGAAAGGTGTCACCGGATTCCAAGCCTGTCAGCACCTTGATCTTGGACTTCCAGCCTTCAGAACTATGAGAAAACAAGTGTTGTTTAAGCCCCCCGGGCTGTGGTATTGTGTTATGGCAGCCTGAGCTAAGACACCTGTGAAGGAGGTTAGACTTTATCCAGGTTGATGACAAGTTACATGATGCAATCTTGCAACTAACTGAATTCCCTTCTCCCTGCGGAACGCCACTCCAAGTGGAATGCCCCTCTCTGTCTCCTCGTTCAGTGGTTTCCCCCTCCCTCACTTTGCCATGCTCGCTAACGTTCAGTGATGCAGAGCACAGTCTGGGCTGCCAAGTGGCCGATGTGCGTCACCCCCTCTTCCCTGGCGGCATCTGCCACTGACCATGTGAGCTGGCCCACACTCTCCTGCCCCAAAGAGCCCCTCTCCTGCTCAGAAAGTCTGCCATCAGGGACCAACAGCACCTCAGTCTCGCCCTTTAAGGAAGGGGCTAGAGGGATCGACACTCTCTGGAAAGGTTTCCAAGCTTTGTGCTGGTATCCAGAATGGCCACTTTGCTTCAGACCAAAGGGCTTTCACATATTGAAGAGATCCTGCCCCCTTTAGGGTCTTTAGACCCTGAAGGATAGTGCGGTGGGTTGTCCCCTATGCTAGGTTAAGGGAAAGGCAGGGACAGAGAAATCTCAACTCCTACTTTACCTTTAAGGCCCATGTCAGAAGTCACCTTCTCCAAGAAGACTTCCTGGATCTGCTCAGGCCTGACCTCTCCCGCCTCTGAACTCACACAATATTTGGTATTTACCTCTCTCTTCTAACTTATTTTCTTCTTCCTTCTACTGTGTGCTTTTCTTATCTTCACAGTTAAACTATGACCTCTTTCAGAGCAGGGCTGGGTCTCACTCATCCTTTTATCCCTACAGGTCTAGCACAGAATGGACACACTGAAGGTATGTCAGCTGTGGGATGAGGCCAGACTGGCTTCATGCCTCTGTTAGTGGAGATGGACATATTCAGGGCAGTAAGAGGCAGGACGTAAGCAATGAGACTCAGGACTGACACTCTGGAAATATGGGCAGGGGCCAAGGCGACGGAGGAGTGTTTTTTGTGGATACGGGAGATAAAGGACAGGGAGATCATCGTTAGATGCCTGAAATATACTCACAATTACCAAGAACAGCACAAATCTGTCTCAGGACAGAAGCATCCCAGAGAAGGGATGATGATAGAGGCCCATTTATACTGGCCTATTTAACCCTTGCTGAATGCCTACTGTGCATCAGTCAGGTGGAGGAAAATACAAAGAGAAAAAGAAGAGAAAAAGAGAACTGGCATTTCCTGCATGAGCTCCATGTGTCATTCATAATTATCCCATTCACCGTGCCAGTTTGCACATTCTTATATGTATTTTCAAATGAGGAAACTGAGGGTCAGGGAGGCTATGCAACCTACCTACACTTACAGAGCTGGTCAACAGCAGGGCTGGGATTCCCTGCCCGGTCCGACTCCAAACCCCGCCACCCTGCCCAAATCTGCCACGTGGCCTCTCTTCACTGTGTGGCAGGGGACACAGATGTGCACGCTGCTGGCCAAGGTGCAGAGGGCGTGGGAGGGTGAATAAGCTGCAGCTCCACTTTGAAAGAGACCACAGTCTAGTTGTGAGGATAGGAGAAAGAAGAAAGAAGTGAGGAAAAAGAGGTAAGTACCAAATACCGTGGGAGTTCAAAGCTTCTAGAAGAGTGAGTACTGTGAGTGGAATGATCAGTCTGGGCTATCCAGAGAAGGTGACCTTGAGCTGGTTAGTGAAAAATAAACAGGATTTCAACAGGCAGAAGGAGCTCAAACAAAAGCATATAGGTATGCACAAACTTGAGGATTTCAGAAAATGTTAACTAGTCCAGTGTGTAAGGGGTGGGGATGGCAGGGAAAAGAGTGACCAAATATTAGGGGATGAAAAATAAGCAGGAGGCAGTTTAGCTGCCATATCCTCATTAGAGCCGGCAGTCAGTGCTTTAAAGTAGAGGTTGTAAGCTGGGAGCGTGCTGCCCATACCTCTGGGTATATTAGTTGGCATAGGATTTTTTAAATTACTAAATTTCATATAAAAATCCAGATTTAGAACTTCCTTTTAAACCACCAGGAGTCCAGGCTCCACTGAGCCCTCCCGCCGACCCAGCCATGCTTGGTCCAAGCTGAGGGGAGGTTGCCAGCTTGTCTCAGCCCTCAGCACACCCTAACCTACGACACCAGCCACTTTATTCTTCGTTACTTGCCAGCAGACATCTGAGATTATGCCTCCAGATGTAAATTTTCATCTTATTAGAAAAAAAAAAAACCCAACCCAAACCAAACACAAGTCAGTGTCACCACAACCATAATAACCACAGGGGAGTGCTTGAGCATGCCACGGTGTGACCTTCTCTTCTAGTCTTTGCTCAAATGTCCACCATCAGAGAGGCCTTCTCATGGTGCCTTCTAAAACTGAGCTTCCCCGCCACTCTCTGTCCGGCCTCCCCTGCCTTCATAGTGCTCACCACCTGACATGGTAGGGATGCGTTTGTCTGCTTCGCTGTCCTCTGTCCTATCCCCACAGGGAGAACCCCCCGGGGCTCAGGGCCTCTCCCCTCTCCCCAGCATCCAGCACAGTCCTAGCGCGCAAGAAGCCCTCTCCGGATCTGTGGAATGAACAGATGAACAGAATCTGACTCCGGGTCGGGAAATGCTTAGGGTCACTGTAAACCTACCTGCTGCGCTTCAGCCCAGAACACGTCTTCCAAGTGAGTGGCGAACCCTTCACTCAGCCATTCCTCCGTCCAGTCCCGGGCCCCAATGGCTAGGCCAAACCAGGCGTGAGCGATTTCATGGCAGAGCCGGGTCCCACAGAGATGGCTCGCTCCTGTCAAGACGCTCTGAGAGAGGAAGATGATGTGTGGGCTGTGGATAATGGGGGAGAAAACACACGGGAGTCTTGTTAGAGCCTGCCCTCACGGCTGCCCCATGGGGCGGCTTTCTTAGCCTGGCGAGCCTGTTATTATCATGTGCATGCTAGATCATGACCGATAGGCTTGCAGCTTAGATGCTTTCAGAAATAAATAAAGTGGCAGTTTACGTTTCTGGCAGTGGTTCAGGTGGCCGTTTGTGCCAAGCAGTTGTCTCTGTCATCCAACGGCTATTACCTGTAATGAGTAACCAGCACCAAAGTTTTATACCGAAGAAATGACAAGGCAATGGAAGCATTTACTCTGAAATCTGGACTGTAAAAGAAAAGCAGGTGTGAGAATGTGAAGCCCATGCTGTCAAGAGAGTGATCAAAGAAGCCCCTTCAGCCAAAAATCCGAGCAGCTTACACACAAATTGAGAAGTCATGCAGAAGGACAGGAAAAGCCGAGAAGAATGGGACCAAAATTTTCCATTGCAGACTGGGGCTGGCTACGGAGTGAACACACTAACAGGTGTCGTGGATGGGCAAGGTTTCCCAGAGACTCAGAGAAAGGCCCAGTCTCCGTAAGGCAAAACTTTTCAAAGGTCTCATCTCCTCCCTGTAGATGCTTATACACTCACTGACATAACAAAATTGGGCAGGGGGCGGGGTGGAGGTAACCACCCAGGTGTGCAAACGGCCCCAGGGCTGGCACCAGCTGGGGAGATTTATCTAATCTCATTTTCCATACCTTGTTTTAAAGCCCCAAATACCATGATCAGAATTGCATAGAAGTGGGAGAAAGGGAGGCTGAAAACAAGAGGCGGAGAGCAAACCTCCCCTGCGTCCCCCTTCCACATTGCTCATTGATCCAGGACTTGTTTACAGTTTTATTAAATGAAGAATTTGCTCTTAAAAAAAAAAACAAAAACAAACCCAAAACCCTCTCCTCCATCAATTGAAGGTGAACAGTTGTGAAAGCTCCCAAATTAAGAAACCATCCACACTGGTTCCTTCCTTCAGAAGCCATTTGTTTGCTCTCGCGTGGGCTCAGCACAAGCCAGGGCCGCGCGCGGATCTGTCCTCCGCCCCCACGGCCACCAGTAGAGAAAGCCCCACCTGTACTTCCCTTGCACAACATCGCCCATTCAGCCCAGAGAGCTCAACTGAAATCGCGGGAGCCACGTGTGCCAAAATAGACAGCTTTCATGTGAAATAATAACAGGGCAGGCACGCAAATGAAAAGCGTCTGCCAGGCCCTCGGCAGAGTCCACCAGAAACCCCAGGAATTAAAAGTGCACTCGGGGCATTTAGGACACGGGGGTGCTTGCGGGGGGGGTGGGGAAGGGCAGGCGCCAACAGTAGCTCAGAGCACTCAGAAAACAAAAAAAGGAGGCAGGAAGGAGGGAAGGACGGGAGGGAGGAACGGAGAGGCAGGCACAGGAGCTAACCTCCTTCTCACTGAGAAAGTAAAGCCCCGCGGAGAAGACAAACTGCGAAACCTGGCATTTTCAAGTCAATGACCCCTTGCTCTGGCATGTGTAGCGCTACAAAGAAAAGCCACAGAAATGTACCAAGTAAATAACATTCCAGACATACTGCTGGCAGCACTTCACCCTTTTGGCTAAAACAAAACAGAATTAACTGCAGGCCTTGTAAACAGGCTCCAAGACGCGCCTGCGTCGGAAGGGTCTGCGGGCCAGAGACACAGACGGTGTGCACACAGCGACAGGGACGGGGCGGCTGACCCGTCCGCTCAACCCAGGGAGGTTACACAAGCTGATGACTGAAATCACAGCCAGACTGGTCACGAAGAAAAAGCCTGCCTTGTCTGCGGTGACCGCTCGCTGTTCTGTCCCAGTGTGGAAGCCTAGCCAAGGCCCATTTATGCAAATATCAAAGTCTAGAGAGCCTGAAGGAATGCACGAAAGCAGCTGCGTGGGGGGCGGGGGGTGGCTGTGCGTTTTCCTGCCCTTTAATCTTTTCCCTCCAACGGCCTTTGTTGTCTCCACCAGACCTCCTTCCCCACCTGCCAGGACGCCACCAGGCCAGGCCCCAGTGAGTCTTGGCTGGGCTCAGGACGGACCGACATTGCTGGAATCCTACACTCCCACTACCCATCCCCAGTCCCTTCTTCCTAGCGGGGAATAAATGTACTTCCTACTGTCCTCTGAGAAAGATCAAAGCTTAAATGTCCTCCTGGGTCAGAAGGAAGGGCGTTTCACTTGATATAAGGGACCCTATTATCAGTGGAAAACACGACCTTCTCCCTGAAAAGCAATTTTCCAGTTGAGAATCAGACCCTAAATCCTCCTGCAGTGGAGTCCGCCCTCTGAGGTTGGGTTTTACCTGTGGGCTACTCTGGGGTCGTATTTCCCTATGAAGGAAATGGCTTCCTTCTTAAAACTAAATGAAAAACATGGAGTCAGGTTTTGATAACCCTTCTTGAGGGCTGTTAAAATTCTGACATAAAAGAACCAATAGAATTTACTTTTAAGGAGAATTTCCTCCTCTCCTTTCGACCCTAAAAGTCAGGATTTCTCCTGTCAAGTAGGATTTTTTACACTGCTTTTTTTCAACAGCGAGTGGGGAAAAGTATAATGCTCTTAAGCTCACTTCAAGGAGTAATATTAAATACTCCTTTACCAACAGATAATCTACTTCCTGCCCACCTTCAAGACAGAATGGATATTTAGAATTTTCTACTTCTACCTTAACCTTGATTTATAAGTTTCACCCCTGGGTTCCTCACACATTCCCGCGTTCTCAGAGCCTTATTCATGGTCCCAATCAGCCAGCAGGTCATCCGTCTTCGCTCTGACAAGGCCCATGGGAAAACAGGTTTTCTTGTTTTCCCCGGAAAGGGCCTGTGTCAGCTGCCTCTACAAATGCCAAATTGTCGCTTCATCATTGCAGAGGATGGAACATAATCACTTCAATGATACCTTCATCCTAAAAACAGTTTTTTTGGTTTTTTTTTTTAATGCACGGAGTTTATCACTTTTCCCAAGTAAGAGACGGACAGGAAAGTCATACTTCCAACTCTCAGAAAGCACCAGCCCCCTGGTCCGTATTCCCGTCATAAATTCCCTTTCGCTATAAGTGGTTGAGGAGGACAGCAGGGCAGAGCAGGGGGGCGGCACAGAGCGAGAGCAGGACACGTGTTCTCATTCTCTCCCAGGGGACCACCGGCGGGGCTGCTCCCTCCAGAGGAGGCCACGTCGTGTTGGATGTCTGCTGCCTTTGCCCCTCGAGAGTAAAAATATCATTTCTGGCCTGAAAACAGCTTCTCAAGACTGTTCCTAAAGGCTACCTCCCCACCCAGATTAGAAGGCTGTGTCTGTTAATTTAAAACATGCTTCTCGCAGAGGAGGAAGGAGAGCCTTCATTACTCTCAAGAGCCGCTCCAAGCCTTCGGGAGGAATTCAATTTGGAGCGGAAATGGAGAATTTCATCAGATCTTAAGCAGGGGCTGTTCTGTGATTTATTTCAGCTTTGTCCAGGGAGACGTGACCAGCGCGGCCCATCCTGCTGCCCAGGGAGAGGTCCAGCACTTCCCGGCTCCAGCTCCGAGCTCCTGCCTTCGCTGGTCAGAGCAGGCTGCGGGTGTGACCAGGAGGACAGGAAATGGTTTTTGGTTCAGGACAAGAAGAGCCCCAGGCCACCCCTTCCATGATACTGGAGCTGATCCCAGTTTCCCTGGGGGGAGCAGATTCACTTTTTATATAGATCCTTGGGAAGTGCATCCAGGAAACCGACTTACACTCCTCAAGCTTGGACTTCTTAGTGATTCAAAGTTTTTCACAATCTCAACAACACATGGACCCCAATACCCATTATGGAGAGGAAGGATGAACCAGGAAAAGAGGGAAACAGAAGCTCCTTTCCCTCCAAAGTCAAACTGGATAGCTTTAAGGGTCTTCTAATCACGTGAAAGCAACTTTTGCTTGTGTGACTTAATTACTTGCTAATTTAATTTGGGCAACTAAAAGTAGACTCATAGGAGCCTGGGGCAATCTGCAAGGAGGACAAATCTTAGCTACCACTCCCTAAGATTCAGAATATGTTTTCTCTTTCATTCTTAAGGTGTGATGTGATACATGCCAAGCACTTCAACGAATGTGTTTACAAATCAAAATGCTCAACTTGAGGCCCCTCTTCTCTGCAATGAATTCCTGTACTCCCCCTCTCCTGCGTGCAGTCTAATGTAGGGGATGCATCTGTGGTCCCAAAGGCAAAGAGGTGGCCCAGATGACCTGAAGACCCGTCTGGCTCTGAGACTGCTCAGTAGGGACTAGTTACGTTCCATTTGCCCCATCTGGCATCCCATTGTGGCCACACAGGGTAGTCTTTAAACTGGAGCCATAGGAGATGAGGAAATGTTCTTTCGGGGATAGGGATTTTCAGGAGCTTGAGGTAGAAACCAGTTTCTAAAAACTTGAAGAAAACTTACTACATCCGATCAACACTGGGATCTAAGTTTGAGAGAAAAGGGTAACATTAAGTTTTCCTTTCAAAATTCTGAATAGGCAGTAAAACATCTATACTCATTTACCTAAATGGATTTTGGCTGAAACTGCCAACATAACCAGAGCAGAGAGAGAATGTCCAGGGCCACACTCCAGAGATTTCTACCAAAAACATATCTTCCTTCTAAAGACTCCTATTGCTTGAGCGCTTGCTATGTGCTAGGCACTGTATGTTATATACATCATCTCATTTGACCTGCCTCATGACCTCAGGAGATGGATTTTATTATTATCTCCATTTTACAGATTATAAAAGTGAGGTAGAGAAAAGTAAAGTGACTAGGTCAAGGTCACATCACTGGCAAGTAATGGAGTATTTCTACTCAAACAGTCTTGACCCTGAAGCCTTACTCTGATTCACTGGCCCAGGGTCACTGAGTTTAGACCTGTAAATTCTGGGCTCCCATCCCCCTGTGCCAGCTCAAGCCCAGTGGTGCAATGCTGCCCTTGTTGGAACTCCATCTTCAGAGCCCACCCAAGGGAAG